AGGTTAAATAGAGCGGCATATTAAGGAGACTCTGTTTGGTTGGTTGTAGAGTGGCAAGGGGCGTTGTGTATGAATGCAGCATAAGTGCTCGAGTTGACTGCCTGAACTAGCTCGCAGGCTTCGCCCCATAAATGATTATCACAATTTTAAAATGAGATCATCATCACAGTGTCTCCAATTCTTTCTTTAACTGCATCAGAACTGCTTTAATTCAACAAATAAAAAAGGTGAGCATGGACGAGGAAACTAAAATTCACATTTGTACAGACAAGGCACTCACTTAGAATCACCTGCACTGTTTCTCCTTATTTTGATTGCTGTAAGAAACCTGAGAGTTTAAGTGCGATCAAGTTTCAGCCTCTTAACTACCGTCTTCCTGTAAGATTCCTTGATACAGATGGTGCATTAAAATGTGTTTTAAAGAACAGAAAAGAGATTGTCTCAACATTATGTCTACAAATGCTCTGCAGCGTGACAATAGAACCAGTGACTAAAACCAGACAAATATGTACAAGTCCATGTATGGTTATCCTACAAAACACTCAAGACAACTTCTTGACTTTGTCAAACTCGAATCCAGACATTGCAGCCAATAAATGTGCCTTCCTGAATCTATTAAAGTAATTTTCCAGGAAATAATAACTCATACATTATTTATACTACTAAATGAATATTTGAAAGCTGCTGAAATGACTTGCGTAATAAAATATTCTGCCAGAGGAAGGGATATGACAGATCCTAAATATATTCAACATCAGCTTAATTTCTATCAATTAGGCTTATATTGAGTCAAAATGACAATAATATAGGAACCATGGAGTTAAAACTATCCAACAGCATGGTGTAGTCCCATTGGCTGCATCTGAAGACCTGCAAGTATAGCCAAAATGAATTTTACCCAAACTGTAAAATCAGTGAATGCTTGTCAGCGCTCACAAAAACATTCAGAACAGAAAGTGCTTTGGAAAATGACCCATCATGTAAGTGTAGTAGTGGTTAAATGGAAAGGGAAGAAGTCGGTCTAGTTCTTTGCTTTGTGAATTTGTACCGACTTTACAGTTTTAATCTCATCTGATTAAAAACAGTGTATGAAATAAGCCTGTATCAACACAAAGGCTGTTATAATGAGCAATACATAAACAACAAACAAAATAAAAGGTTTGCATTTTGTCCACATGTGGTTTGACAAAAGCACTGCCTCTTCCTCATTAAAAACCGCTCACATTACACTTAGCACACACAAGAGACGTTGATTAAAGTCTCAGTTAGTTAGGCTGGACATTGGGACTGAGACCGAATCAGAACCATCTCTAGGATACTTGGACAAACTGCATTTTAAATATTTACAAGTACTTTTCATTAATTCACAGAAAAAGGGAGAGATTTCTCTAAAACGTCAAAGTCACTGTAGAGGTTTTTGCCATTTGCATGTTCCACATTGCCCTGCCCATGCACCAGATGTGTGTATTTCTACGAAGGGTGTTCATGGGAAGGCAGTCGCCTGTCAGAAAACTGGTTAGGCAAATATCTTGCAGAGAAAAGGTCCACTGACTGTGTAAAGGTCACAACAGGTATGACTGGTTAAGAGGGTGGTGCTGGTGCACAGTCACGTGAGAATTATTTGAATTGGGTTTGTGATCCTGATGTTGCTGGCCTCCATCTCAAGCAGTCTACCCTTAGATATCCGACCGCTTTATTGACTGAAGACAGGCAGCAAAGTGTTTATTGCGTAGTTCTTTGTGACACAAATGAAAGGCATGGGGATATCCTGATAGTCACCGACAGCTTGTGTGTGTTACAGTCAGCAACAGATGCAGCTATGTTTCGGATCAAAAAGGATGAACAGAAGTCAAAAACCAAAGTGACTCAGAAGAGAAAAACAAACAAAGCTCAAATTCCCTATAATTTAGAACAAGTCAGAATGACTGCCAACCCTTGCAGTGAACTTTACTATTCAAACTTCTGCTTACAAAAATTCAAAAATGACTCAACCAATGTAATCTCACTTAGCAGCTGATGCAGTTATTCAACCGCTACAACCGTTATGACTGGCACAAGTTTTGACATGTCAAAGAGAGATAACACACCCTGAGTGCGTAAGGTGCAATATCATTCAGGCCCGGGAACAATAAATCTCGGTTTTGCCTCTCCTGCAATTACTTGCACGCTAGATCTTGCTCTTATATGGCTGAGGCTCTGATCTGTACCAAAGATAAATCTCAAAACTAGTCTCAGATTGCATTGCTAATTTAAAGACATGTTGCTATGTTTGAAATAAAGCAGAAACCACAGTGGAAGGAGTGTAATCATCTGGACAACAGAAGCCCCAGCCTCAGTCAGCTCTGCCTCCATGACTCACCCAGGCCCAGCTGAGTCAAGCTGAGTGACTCTTGATGCTGAAACTCATAAAGTCGTATTAAATTAGAAATAGGCCTCGGGAATGCAAAAAAAGCTTGTGGTATGCAGGTTTCTAGGGAAAGGCAAGCTGAGTTAGGTTAAAATATCTGCTCTTCTTCCTTACTTTACAGGTAAATCCTCTCACTGAGGTCAAAACCAATACATGCTGTAATTTAAACAGAGTGGTTTATAAATTATCTTTGGAAAATGCACCAAAAAAACTAAAACATGAGCCTGAAAATCCACCAGTGAATCCAGTCATTTCCATTTTGACATATTATTTAATGAATTCCATAACAATAACAAGTTACAGTCCGAATAGAGAGGGGAGCATTTTTACAAGCTTTAACACGCATGCCTGTGTGACAGCAACAGAGAGCAGAAACAAATCCTGCACTTCTTCAGGTAACAGGAGGAAGACAGCTTGAGTACAAACACATGTAATGGCGAGCTTTGACAGCACCCGGTGTTAAGAACATTGTAAAATAAGATTTACCAAACGTGTCATTACACGTTGGAGGAGCACATTTGAACCGGAGTAAACTCACCGGCAGTTAGTTACCTAGCAACATGGAAGCAAAGGTAATGATAAATTAATGGCTTTGCAATGCCGATCATCCTCACATACCTGCAGCTGATGCACCTCCAGATTAAACACACACCCGGAAAAGCAAAAGTTCCCCAGCCTTTTCTCCGCGTTTGTAAGGGGGTCACTACTTTCACCTGTAACACGGTGTTCTTTCAGCTCCACTAGATGAGTTTTGGAAACGATGCCATGATTGAGATGAACGCATCGAAAGTCAGCAGCTAATTTCCTTTACGTCGCCGTGTGCATGTGATGGCCCTTCAGCAGAGGAAGGGGTGTGGGTACGACATGTAGAGATGACACACACATCATCATCCGGAGTGTGTTAACACGCTATCAGCCGCCCTTTCTGCCAGTGTTTACAAAATATGGCCCCATCGTTGCACCGGAGAACCACACGCTGGATTTCCTGAACCGACAGAAAAAAGGCCGAAGTAGCTATGGTAACGTTTAAAATGTCCTTGAATATCCTGCCAAACGTCGCGGGAGTTGGCGGTCCGTCGGGTTCTTCCTGGCGGTAAAACGGTAACCGGTTGTGAGCTCCGTGCAGCGGAGGTCCATCTACCGTCCACAGAACCGGGGAGGGAGAGGGGCAAACAGATGAGAAGCACCCGCCATGGGAAGTTGTCACTCCTCAAGTCATAGCCGCTGCGAGACTTCACAGTCCTTTCAGCACGACACCAATAGTGTCAAGGAAACATGAGTCTAGCGAGGTTTCCGGTATAAACTTCCAAAATAAAAGCCTGCCTTACTGAGCGTGTGCAGTTGCTCATTTCACACACTTGAACTTGCAATCCAAGTGCAGAGATGGGAAAAGTATCAGAAGTACGACAGTGTAGGAATACTCCGTTACAAGTTAAAGTCCTGCATTATAAATGTTAGTCAAGTAAAAGTACAGGCATCAAAATATATACCGTAGGCCTACTTAAAGTAGGCTACCAAAAGAAAGTGTTCATTATGCATTTGGCCCATTTCATTATTATGATTATATGTTTTGCTTATAACTATTGTTGCAATGACTTTGTATTCTGCAGGAAAGCTTGTGAATTTCACTCCAGGGGCAACTAAAGTATTATTTGGTGATTATATTTCACATCATTAATCCAAATCTGCAGAGTAACTAAAGATATTAAATAAATGTAGTGGAGTAAAAGTACACAATAACCTAAAAGTAGCAAAACATTAAGTACAAAGGAGCAAAACATTGAAATATTCAAGTGAAGTACAAGTACCTCAAAATTGTATTTAAGTATAGTACTTAAGTAAATCTACTTAGTCACTTTTACACCAATGTCAAGTGTATAAAGGGCGTCCTACGAACACAGAATGATAACCCGTTAATACATTGAGGCAGAAAGCTCATTAACACTATAATGGAGTAAAAATAATAAACAATAAAAGTATTATTTGTATTTATCTAAGGCAGGGGTTCCCAAACTTTTCAGCCCACGACCCCCAAAATAACAGTGCCAGAGACTGGCGACCCCCTGTCGACGGGGGGGACGGGACGGGG